CTATTTAATACTTATATAATTACCCGATATGAAATTTCAGTACCTGATAATTTTGACTCGAGTGAAAAAAGCGTGATTTGTGCTTTTTGAATATGAGAAATTAAAGAAAAAAAGGAAAAGAAAAGGGTAGATAATGAGTGTTTGGTATAAAATTTTATTGGCTTCAACGAAACCATAATAGCCACATGCTGAAAGGGTCCAAAAGCTGCTTTTGGACCTCGAATTCGGTATATTTCGATATAATTTGGACTTTGGAGAGATTAAAGGTATTGTTATAACTGATAAAGTAATATAATTAGGCTTATTTTATACTTTTTTTAATTTATACATCATTTCTCTAAATTTACACTTCTCCATAAGTATGGGTCTTGCTACATATAATATTCAATCATCTATATGATTTTATTTTTACACAACTAATCTATCTGCTTTTTATTGTAATTAATGACTGAATTTATATATTACACAACCTAAACATATATGATTTTATATAAAACGTAAATACATTATCATACATATTTCCTTAAAAATTTAAATATATTTGTGTCGCATCTTCTGTAATGCTTCATGGGTTTACAATGTTGCGTTTAAGACAAGCAGCCTGTGGTTATCGTGTTCTAACTTTTAAAGTTTCATGTTTAAAAAACACAAAATTAATTCCAGCAACAGACATGGCGGTTCATAAAATGGACCCATTCTGATTATTTTCGAATATTTAAGGATGACGAAAGTTTTTTATATTATTAAAAAGAGACGATAATTTACAGCTCTTGGACTTTGGTGCAAAGTTGCTAAAACATTCCTAAAGTGCAATTATTGTATTATATTATACAATACCGTCAATGTGTATGGCTAAGCATAAAATACTAACTCTACACCTCATAAATTGCTAGGTGTGGATATTTATATAAATTGTGAAAATATATGTTAATATATGTGAAATGTACAATACAATTGCAAATTTGCAATATGACTATGATTGGGACCCGATATGCTTTTCCTTGAAAAGAATAAAAAATGATGATGATGCCTTGCCTTTATCTTTGCTCTCGTTCTACGTGTTTCTTTTTCCTTCTTGGAGAAGGGAAATAAAGCAAGTTTTATACTACTACTATATGCTATCTGTTTGTGCGTGTGGTTTCATTATTGTGCATTTCTTCCCAATTTGCCCTTATTAACTTTGGCATTCACTTTAGTCCATGTCTTAGTTCAACACTTCCTCTTACATAAAAGGGGCATTTTCAAGCACATGCATAACCAGCGACACATATCCCATGTTCTTTCATAAAAGGTTGGATATATTGACCCAGTTTGCATTGTTATTTTTTTTAATATTTAAAAAAATGGATACTTAGAATTGTTTGTGTACAAAGTACAAACTATTATTAGTAGTAATTTCGTTAATTTATCTACTATTTAATTTTATCATATCCAAAATCACATTATCTCCCTAGATTAATCTTTTCTACTTCTCCAATGATTTGTCTGAAAATTAATTGCATACTCAATGCTGTTGGTTGTGACATTTTTTGTTGTTTTAATTTCTTGCCTCCCTCTCTGTGCTGTAGCCGAGAGGTAGATATCATATAGGGTTGTTGGAGAATTTGGATATTAATTTTTGTTAGTTTCAACAAAAACACAATAAAAAGGACTCGTGTCTTAATTTATGTTTAACTTGTTTGACTGAGCTTGGTCTTCATCCGCACACATCACTTCGCCACATGTATTCCTCTCTTTTAAATATTTCCATGCTCTCAATTTTCCAATTTTGAATACTTTTGGTGCCTTTCCCATAAAAAAAAAAAAGTATTATAAATTAATGATTGGACTATTGAAATGTTTGTCAGGCAGTCGAGGTTCGGGCCGCAGCCCGCTGGACTGGGACAGCCGACTGAGAGTGGCCACAAGCGCGGGTCGAGGGCTGGCCCACCTCCACACCACCAGAAACATAGTCCACGGCAACATAAAATCCTCAAACATTCTCCTCCGAGACGACGGCACAGCCTCAGTGTCCGATTTCGGGCTCAACCCCCTCTTTTCCACCTCCTCCAACCACCGGGCCGCGGGCTATCGGGCCCCTGAAGTGCTGGAGGCCCGTAAGGCCACCTTCAAGTCTGATGTGTACGGCTTTGGTGTCCTGCTCCTGGAGCTTCTGACTGGGAAGGCTCCCAACCAGGCGTCGCTGGGGGAGGAGGGGATCGATCTGCCGCGGTGGGTGCAGAGCGTGGTGCGGGAGGAGTGGACTGCGGAGGTGTTTGACGTGGAGCTGATGAGGTACCAGAATGTGGAGGAGGAGATGGTGCAGGTGCTCCAGATAGGGATGGCGTGCGTGGCCACGGTGCCCGACCAGAGGCCAGCGATGGAGCAGGTGTTGAGGATGATGGAGGATATGCATGTGGGGAGAGGTGGTGGGGATACGGATGATGGGAGAGGGGGTTCAGATAGCCAGACGCCTCCTATCGAGTCGAGGGCTTCGCCGTCCGGTGTCACGCCTTAGGTTAATTTGATGGTGATGATGAGGATGGGTGGTGGTTTATTCTTTT